GCTGTGATTAATCATACCCATTCCAAGATGTGATTTTGGCTTTGGACAGATCAAATCCAAGCAGCGCAGAGTACATTAATTAGATGCTTCTAATTGTATTTCTTTATATTTTTCATTTATTACTCTGTATAGCACTGTCGTGAAAAGTTGAATAGAAGTCTGTATTTCAGTTTTCACTCAGTGTTTATTCAGTTGGTCTTTGTGCCATTTTCTCATTCTGTGTGAGGAATGTTACAATAAATTTCTGTGTGCATTTGTGTATATTTCACATTACTTTTTATTCAAGGAGTAGAACTTTGTTAAGTGGGGAAAATACATATAATAAAACACTACATTAGATTTATAGAAAAATTTCCATTCATGTACATGTAGTGTACCGGTAATTGGTGCTAGTCATGCATCTTTCAAAGGAAAAAGCATTTTATCTCTGCAGAATGTTGCTTCCAGTAGTTAAGCCTTAGACAGTTTTCATTCAGTCAAAAGTGTCACATGCTTCTTGTTCTATCATTGAGGATTTAAAAAAACCTACCATATGTTTACATACTCTTTATACCAGATACAGGTCAAACTTCCCTTCGCAGTTGAGCATGGGAGTATGTAAAATTGTCCATACTAGTAGGGTGGCACAGGGCTTGTTTTAAAGATATAGTTGAGTTCTGGTCATGCGATTAATTATGAAAGAAACACGGAATTGATCAAAAAAGGTCGATCTTCTAGCATTTAAGTATTGGTGTTTACTGCAAGGTTCTGGAATCATCAAAATGATAAGAAATTTGGTCCAGTTTTGTAGTTACAAGCACTGTACACAACAAGATGTATATAGGACTACATGAACATGTGGCATAAAAATCTGTCCCGATTTCTATGATGTTACATGCCATATTTAGATTATTGAGGCATTAGATAGAAGAGCCATGCTTTTCAGGGAACATGTTTTATCTGCTGTTCTTTCACACTTGCATAATATGTACAATGATGATGCTCACAAATTATTTTTCACCTCTTCCCAGAACCTAACCTTCTCTTTTAGTCTTCAAGACACAATTTAGAACTCTTTTATCAGGCAGTGTGGAGCGGTCCAATTAACTCCAGATTTTGTGTGATTGGACCTTGCTTTCAAATAAACAGGTAGCAAACCTGCCATAACTTTGACATATGACAATAAATGTAAATGATCTTTACATTTTTTTAAAGTGGAATAATCAGATTAACTATACGTTACATTTTTTTTGTAAATAACGAAGGAAAAATGGGGAAAATAAGACGAGAGATTTTGTATGAAAAAAGAAAAATACAATTCTGAAATATTGTATAAAATTACACATTTCTAAAATGTGGACAACAGAGATATTCAAATATGTTATTAAATTACTATTAAAGAAAATGTCTGTGAAATATCATTTTTATAAACCCTTGCGTCCGGATATATGTCTGGAAAATCCTACAGAATGCATTTTCATACCTTCAATACGAGCACCAATCTACCGAGTCGTACACACTTTACATCGCAGATGATGACATCATGCTCAATAGTACAGTCCCATATACGCTAGTTTTTGTTGGGGTTGATCGGTAGTTTTTGGAGACAACTGAACATGAAATGTTTGATAAAATGAGAAATGGGTCATCATTTATAATAGGTCATACAATTTTTCATATGTACTTCGAGATGATCATTTTACATCATTCCTCATAGTGAAATCCCCCGACAAACAGAGGAGATACGACGGGGGGAATTTTCGTTGATAAAGTGAGCTTGACAACATGGGTGCTTCGATGACTGTTACATATTCAAAAACGATTTCAGTGTTATCAGCGAGTTAATTGCACCGCTCCACACCGTATGTTATTAGGAGGAACTCCTAGGGAGAGAGAGATCGCCCCCCCCCTCCTTAGCCCAGGTCACAGAGATTTTTCAAACTGTAGCTCTTCTAATTTAGCAAATCATAATAGACAGTATCATTAATAGGGATAGATTTGTTTTAAAAGATATTGAAGATCAGGTACTTGACAGTTTATTCTGACACATCAGCAGTATGAATACTATTATTTGACCTTGTACACGTACATGTAGTAGCCCAAATCAATGTTGTACATATTTCATCAGTCAATCAAACTCAATTTTCTGAAATGAGACATATGATTTTGTGGCATTCTTGTACATTTATTTTGCATAATGTGACTAATACAACTTCTTTGATATGCTGTGACAATTTCCATTATTTGAGAATTACATTTTATGCTGTAGAGTTTCATATACATAGAAATGTTTACCTCAAACCATATTTATTGTTACTTTGTTGTCAACAGTTTCGCAATATACATGCATGTATTGTAAAGTAAAACATCATTATGCATTGATGTTCAGAAGTAGTGATAAAGCATGCACTTTAAGAAGAATGAAATTATCATTTACTCCTTCTGAACTACATGTATGTGTTGTCTTATCAATTACACTATAAACTGTTATTTTTGCGAGGGTTTTATTATCACGAATTTCGCCAATTGCATATTATCGCAAATTTAATCACACACAAAAATAATAGCACCTCATCATTCCGGAGCGCAAAATTATCAGCATAAAATTATGTGCTTGCGTCCTCTCGATGGCTAGCTGCTACTACTAACTGTCTAATGTTCGTAATGCACGATGCACTCACGTAATCCTACACTTGTGTGTACGTGTACTTACGTGACCGAGTCTGTGTGTGTACGTAGGCTATGTTTTGGCATGAGAAAGTTGGAATACTTCATACCTATTCACTAATTCTGCTGTGTGCCATTCGCAAAAACAACAAATCTCAAAAATTTCTCTTAGCATGTCATTCGCAAAAAAAAATCAGCTCATACAGTAGTGGGTTTATTAACTTCATTTGATCACATCTACTACATGGTACTGCCTTCCCAAAGCAGCATCACATTGTGTTATGTGCAAATCTCTTTTAGAAACAGCTTCTAGACATTAGTCATTCTCCAACCTGGAATATTACTCATGTTTTCTCACCTCTTAAGCCCTATTCTGACATGATATGACACCTCAGCAAAATATAAAGGTCTTCTACCCTCTGTAAATGGATGGAATTTTTTTTTTTTTTAAACCAACAAACAAAGTGTATGAATGTAGATTGGTGATGCTGTTAGCTAACACATGTATCTTGTTCCTGTTGCTGAGATGTCTTTTTTGAAGTGGTTTGTCACAATACTCATATCATGCGTGGAATGGAGATTTGGGATTTTGATATCACTTCATAGGATTGTAAACCATCCAGACTTCTGTCGTTATACCACAAGTTGTTTAATCATTTTTCTTGCAAAAACATTTGTGCTTTGATGCATTCATTCACAATCTTACCTTCTTGCTTCTATGATTACAAACTACTTTTTAAATTGTATTTTGTGTATAAATGGTTCAGAGAAATGGTAGAGAGATGCTGGCCATGCATTCTGTCCCTATTTCTTTGGGTCGTTTTGGATTTCATCTTGGGCAATTGTCTTATTGTATAATAGTTTTAACAGAAAAAAAATCTTGTGTGGGGACGAGAATTTACACTTGTAAGCTATCTATCTCTCTGCTTTTTCTATTATTTTTATCATTTTCTTTAATGGCTTTACTAAATAAGAAGTAGAGGGTCAGTGTAGCATGATGGAAGGCTACTGAAGCACTTACATGTACACATTTTATGTATATTGATTTCAAATCTTTCTCACATCATGGAAAAATTACACCACCAGTAGTTTTTGCAGTTACTATGCATGTCAAATTGTGAATATATTGTAATACATGAAAAAAGGATAATTGAAAAAAACCCCTCGTAAAATTTCTGTAATTCAAGCTTTAGCATTGATATCTACTTCATTACGCTCTACTTATATATTTCATAATTGCCATTCTAATGCCAATTAGAATCACCCCCAGTAGCTGAAAAAAGTTCTTTGAACCTTTTTTGCCCCGGCAACCCCCTCACCTACTGCGGTCGTTTTTTTCTGGTCAGTCAGTCCTCTCAAAAATGCAAGGCCCCTATTGCAATCATTAGACATCTCTTAATTTTTGTTTTGAAATTCATGCTTAGATTTTGACTTACCAGTAACTTGATAGGAAGCTTCAGGCAGGGGGATATGAAATTGTTTTAAAGGGCTACTGACCCCTCCATGGGTAAGGGGCTTGGGGGTAGCACCCCTCCCCCTCCATCCCCCCAAAAGTCCTCTGTTTTATATTTTCGACCTTTTCTCAAATACATGTCAGGAAAGGGAGATATAAAGGTGTTAAAATGGGGTATGCCCCCATGGGGCTCTGGGGCAGCCTTCAATACCCATCATCCAAACAGCAGTGCGAGCACGGCAAACTTAAAAATGCACGCTCATGCAAATTGTGAACACTGTTGATTTTATTTATTTATTTTTTCCATTTGAATCAAGGATATCTCTTAAAAAAGCCTGGTTACCCTCATTTTGTTACTTCATATGCTGATAGATCAGAAAGTGTACATGTAGATATGATTTATACCAACATGTTGGTATAAGTTGTGGCTAATCATTGTACATTGTAGGAATCATTGGTATGTGAAGGAGACCTAACTTTTTTTTTTAATGGAATACCTGCCCCCTGCAGAGAATGTTGCAGCAGCCCACCTCAATTTCCCTACTATTCTCATATTTGATAAATCATGTGATCTACATGTAGGGCAAAGGGGTTGGGAGCTACATTGTAGGTCCCATATTTTGAGGCTCCTTCTTTCAACAGTTTAAGTGAGCGTTAGGTCCATGGACCGCTTGTTTTTTTGTTTAATGAGAAATAATGTCAAGCAATTTTTGTCTCCTAGAAATAGTTTAGAAATGCAGATATTGAATAGAAATAGATGGACAGCTCACTCTATTTACAATGTAAATATGAGTGACGGGTACAGAGGAATTAAGTTTTCTAGAGTGTTTTTCCCCGTGAAATGCAAAAGCCATTTTAAGTTCTCATGAACTTTTTCTTATTATTTTTCTTCTTGTAATAGGAAAGACAAGAAGAGCAGTCACAAGAGGTGAGATATTTGCTCATCAAGTGTATAGATATATTCAGGCCTAAGTTTTAATGTTACAAAATTATATGGCAGTGACCCTCTCAAAAAGTACCCTACATGCCCAAAATAGTTCCATAGCAAGTTACAGGAGGATCTCTTTAGTGTTGAAATGTCCCTCAACATAGAAGTCAAAAGGAGTCTTGTGTATAGATTTTAACTTTACTGATTCCCTTTTTTTATCTCTTTATTTTCGAATGTTCTATTACAGTCATCAAAGCTTTTAAGAAAGTGCTAAAAAGTTACCTCTTTGATAATTGTTTTTAGCCATTGTAAGCATGATCGTAGTTGTAAATCACATTCATAGGTCCCAGTGGCACTTTGATTATTATTATTGTCATTATTCTAATTATCATTATCGTTATCATTATCATTATTATTATCATTATTACTACTACAACTTCTACTACTTCCATTTCAATTGTTATTTTTCATGCAGGTATTATTTTGGGGGTAGAGAGAACATATATGATGAGTACATGTATTTCTTTTAGCTCACTATTCATCTTGTGAAACCTTATAATGATTAATTGCTTTGTTCATTTTCATCTGTTTCAGTAAGGACAAGTCTGATAAGCACAGAAGTAGCAAGAGAAGTCACCGTCATCGGTCAAGAGACAATAGTGAATCAGAGTCGGGTCTAGAGTCTGCAGGGTAGGTCTCAAACACATACAACAAAGAGATTTAAGTGAGCTTAAATTGTCCCAATCACCTAAAGGAATTGTTTGTATACAGCTAGAATGTATAAAATCAACTGCAAAATTGTTTTTACCTGGCATTCTATGTGCTAATGGATAAGGCAGGGTTTGACAAGAGAATGTTATCATTTTTTTCTTCTCCAGAGTAATCCTTGCCTTCCTTAGATCTTATAGAAGATAAATTTTTAGTTGACAGTAAATTTACATGACTATTTACAGTCAAATCTGCAAATAAAGCCTGGGTATAATATATTTTAAACATTTTAAACAGTTGGTATTTCATTGAAGTAGTTTTGTTAAGTTTGACTTAAGAATGTTCAGATCTTTACCAAATAGGTCTTGTCTCCATAGAACTCCAGAGTAAATATATTTTATGTGATAAATGTATATACATGTACACAAAATAGAAACTATAGTTTGGTTTACCAAGATAAGAAACGTGCTATTAAACTAGACATTAAACTATTTAAAAAAAAATCACAAGCACATGTACCAGTCATGTTCCCTGTCAACCTGCTTCGATAGAATTGATATAGTGGTAACTTTAGTAATACCTGACTTTCGTTGTTGAAAGTATTCTGAACCAACCGATTCTTGGACATTGAGAGTATTGTAACGTTTTATTTGGTGTGTTGTTTATCTGGTCTCAGTCTCATTGGTATCACTGAGGCATTATCCAGTTCACAAGAGTATTTGGTATAGCAAATTATCCTTGCGGTACAAAGCCTTCAGGATTTGCTTCACAATGTAGTGTAGGCAGAATATTCTCTACAAAGCTGTGTGAAATACCTCTTCATCAATGTTCTTGTTTGTACACAGATCCTCACCGGAGAGAAGTCGCCGTTCACATCACTCACGCTCTCCGGACTCCAAACAAAGTCACAAGAAGGAAGAAAATGGCAAAAACGGCAAGAAAAGCAGAAGATCATACTCCTCCGATTCAGACCGGTCAAGGAGCTACTCACGCTCTCCTGAGAGGAGGTCACGTAGAAGGTCAAGATCTAGAAGCAGAAGGTATAACTGGTCATCTTTATCAAGTTGTCAACTTAGTATTGATAGGTCAAGACATGAGATTTGTAATGAGTGGAAGTTCCTATAGCCCTATTGTACTTAGTGTAGTTAGATGTACATGTTCATAATGAAAGTATTGTGTTTATATGTCTGCCTACGTTGAGACACGGTTTGAAATTTTATCAATAGCATCATCATGTGTTGAAAGCCAGAAGAGCTTTAACCTCATGTAAAAGGCCATGAGTTAACACCCTTATTGCTCTTAACAAACATTATATTAAAAGTTGTGTCAATAAATGACTAATCTTCAATATCTAGTCTGCCATATTTGTGGAAAGTTGAGTAAACCCAGTTAAGATTTTAAGAAGGCAACTGAAAGACTGATTTTTTCACGTATTCAGCATTTCACATCGTCATTACCATCGTCAGATGAAATGATGTATGCCTTCCGAAAAGGCTTGAATTGATGCAAAGACAAATCATGTATCTTTCAGGAAAAAACATTCTTTGACTACATGAGCACAGCACATTTCCTTCTATATTTGTCCAAATCAACAGTAATAACTTGTTACTTGAGCTTGAAAGCTATACAGATTTGAGTCCTTCTGTCAGGCACACAATGAAATTGTCAGTATCAATGCAGTTATTAATTTTTCTTGCCCCAATCCAGGTCTCACAGCTACTCTAAGGAGCGGCGGCGCTCAAGGTCTCGTTCCCTCAGCTACTCCCCCTATGAACGCCGCAAGTCAAGAAGCAAGAGCCCCTCTTCCAAGACCAAGGAGAAGAATTTCTCACCAATCCGCAAACGCCGTGATTCTCCAAGCTTCCTAGACAGAAGGAGAATCACAAGGTAATATAAGTTATCCCTGGTTGAGCCAAAAGGCCGTCACTCTGAAAATCTTGTTCAGACATTGTGCCTTTCTTGTCCTCATTCACATCCTTTTCCTTGAGATTTTTGATTTTCTCAGCCTCATGTGAAAATGAACCTGCCTTATTGAAAGATCTATGACAAATTTAACTTCATAATTGATTGGTTATGAAGAATAAGAGGATTACATTAATTCTGTAAATTGATATTTTTGTTGTGTTTGATATTTGTGTTGCTTGCAGTGAATCACAAAATTCTATTTTCAGAAATTAAATATTCAGCCTGTCAACATTTTAAGTGATTTTGTCATGCTAAGGTTGCATGTATATCACACGGGTTAAAAAACAAAATCAGAATTATTTTACAAGTTACGAGTTCTGTTACTGTACGCAGTCTACTGCAGTCTTACTGCCTTGACTCTGCCCCCCCCCCCCCCCCAATATATTAGAAAGGGAATGTGCCAATTTTCGTTTGTAACCAGCAGTAGCTGAAATTTCAGTTTTATTTCTAGTAAAAAAAAAGGGGGTCAAAAATTGTAATAATTTGTATGAAAGATGTTGATAGGTTGAAAATGATAATGAATGATGATTTCTTCACTTATGTCACCCAAGATCAAAGGGAGGTTATTCACTGTGTGTCATTTGTTTGTTTTTTGCACCTATTGATGAATGTGAGTTGTTAATATGACAGGTTTTGAATCACAGCGTGATAGCACAATTTTAACTTGCTTGATTTACTCAGAAGTATTGGAAATATTAAAGGAAGGGAAATGGTAAATTTCTTCTTGACAATTTGTTTATGATAGAAATGAAAGTTATTATTCTGTGCTTGTTCTTGTAATTGTAGGTGTAATGCTGTAAAACCTGTTTATGTGTATGTGTTGTTTTGTTTATTATAAAATTATAGTGAAATCGTCAGTATGATCTTAATAATGATTTGCATCTCTCTTTATAGCATGATTGTACTATCTTTATTTGCTATTCTTCTTATGTATAGTATATATAGTTGTTATAATACAATATGTTCTTTATTTGCTCAGCTCAATATATATGTGCTCTATTGTATACCAGGTTTAATTGATATTTTGCCTTATAAGATTTCATTGATACTTCAGTTAAGAACAAAGGATATTATCAATTATCAAAATTCATAAGAAACCAGTCTTTCATCTTAAATTGAATTTGAGTTTAGGGCGATGACTTACTGATCTTTGTTCCTCTCAAAACTTGTAGCAGCAGGAGGTCATCCAGTCGAGATCGCACCTACTACAGTGATCGTAGCAGACATCGACGTAGCAGCAGAGATCGTAGCCGATCACGATCACGATCTCGAGATCGCTTCTACAGACGATGAGCAAGGTGCTCTTACTTCACAGAATGTAGGGGAAATGTCAAGTTTTGTTTTTTTAGCTGTATTCATCCTACTAATCATAGTTGAATTATTTTACTTTGTTTCACAGGAATGCATAGAGATTGCTGCATAAAATGATAACAGTGCCTCATGAAGTGAAAAATGCTAACATTTAGTGATGTTGTTGCTCCTGTCAAGGTTGTTTCAAAATGAGACAAAAGAATCGACCCCTGTTAAATTAAAGAATACAAACTGTATTTCTTATCAGGTGACTGCAGGATAGGGAGAAAAAAAATATCAAAAGAGAGAAAGGAAGAATAAATAGAAAGGAGAAATGAAAGAAAATATGCTTTTTGACTGTTGGGTAATTGGTAAGAGTTTGAATGTTATAGAAAGAAAAAAAAATGAATTGTACTGTGTTTCTTTGATACAACCATGATGGCAGCAACATCTTGTTATGCAGATAACTTTAACTCTGCAATACATACACTGACATTCATCAACTAACAACATTCATAATCTAGTCAAGGTGCATTTATGAAAGAATAACAGCAAATTCTAATCAGTTGGAATTTGAGTCATGTTTTAGTCACAGAATTTTATCAAAGTTGTACTCTTTTTAAAATTGTATTTTTTACATTAAATTTGCTTGCCTAGTTGATATGCAACAATTCCAAGGCAAAATTGCCTCAGTTGTCTCTCAAGCACAGTATGCCGGGTGCACTTGTGATGTCATCCCCAAATTTGGTTGTGAAATCTTCCCAAAATGCACCTTTACACCTATCAACCTAGACTTTTGCCCTTAATAGGGAATATTTTGTCTCTACCTATTTTCATAAAATGAAAGTGACAATATGATTTATTCATAATAGTTTATATAAAATGTATCTATTTAAGAGTGAATGAAGGGAGATCTGAATCCTTTCGTGAAACAAGGTGAAGACAAATTATTCCAACTTTATGGGCAACAGGTCAATTGCAACTTTTTTCATTAAAGTGCTCACAAGCAGAAGCGAAAATAAAACAATATGGGATTTAACAAAAATAATGATAATAATAATGACAAAATTAGGGTATTGATCTACAATAAATGCAGATGACACTATGATAAATGTATATACACCTGTAGGTAAAGGTGTATGTCTTGTTCTCCCTGTGGTTATCGTCATAAAACAAAAAGATACAAATAGTTCCTTGTTGAGTAAGAGTTATATAAGACTTTATAGCTGAAAATTTATTAAGAAAATTTTAAAAAGTGGGTTCTCTTTATCTCATGCATGCTTTCATTGATAGTGTTTCTCATCCCTGTGATATTTGTGTCAAATGTTTCAAATTTGTATTGATGGTGGTCCAAAGCTCTTTGCTTAATATGATACTGATAACCTTTTGAAAGTAAAACTTGCATGCATGTCTACTTACTTAGTGTAAGTTCTTTCAGTGCATGTAAGCATTATGCAACAAAGTTCTTTGGTCTACAAATTCAAGAGACTAATATTTTCATAGAGAAACAATGGATTTCCTAGTTTTGTAGTGGTAAAAGTGTTAATTGACAAAATTAACTGTTGGCAATATTAAAAGTTGATTGTCTTTCAGGATAAAAATATCTCTAACTGATAAGTACTTTCAGCCACCCCCCCCCCCCAATCTGTGATGATAAGCTTATGATTTTATAAGAACTCTGTAGCAATTTGTTTTCATGCACTATCTCTCATGAATCCAGAATAAAGATATTTTTACATGTTGCATGTTTTCATATACACAAGTTCATTTGCATGTTCATTTGCATGTTTATGTGCTTGAAGCTTTTTTTTTATTGGCTAAGAAATTCATGCTTTGCAGCATTTCTCAATCATTGTTAATGTCCTAACTAACATGTGCTCCTTTTTGCCTCTGTATGACGTTCTAAAATTCTCTGCATGCATCCTTGTGCAACTGTGTATCATCTAACAACTTGCAACCCTACATATATTTGAAAATAGCATGAAGGATCATAAAGTTGTTATGTCAAATGAATTTTGTTTGTGTTTTGGAAGTCAGGGTAAGATCATACATGTTTATCTCATAAAATGCATCTTGATTCATTTCATTTTAATGCTTTGTTGTATAGCTGTGGGTATTGTGCATGGTTTTAAAAGATTTAGTTTTTCAGGATTTTTTTCATTTAGAAATGCCTGCATTCTTTTATTACTGTGATTGCAGGTATCATAGAAATGCAAAGTAAAAAGTTTACAGATAGTGGTTTTTGATTAGTGGATTGGACCCTACAATTTAGTTTGGACGGTGATCCAACCTATCTTTATCAATCCTATGCTTTATGGGAAACTTACAAATACAACAAATAAAATTGAATTATGTTATTACTTTCAGGCCTGATAATTACCTGATTTTTCTTCCCCCAATTTTTTTCCTGAATTTGTTCTTCTTCCCCCCCCCCCCCCCCCCCGGATTTAACCTGATGTTCCCAATTTTCCCCCTTATTTTCTTACTCAAAAGGGGGGAACGTTGTTAGATGCCATTTAAAAAATTTAACAAAATTAAGTGTTCACTAGCATCCCTGTACTTTAGAATACTGTTGTGTTGAATAACATGTAATTATCAGTTTGAAAGGATTTTGTTCACTCTTTGCTTTGCATTATCTTAACTTCTTAAGTATATTTTTGTTATCCTGAAGAAAAAGTCTAACGTGTTATTTTGTTGTTAAGTTGATGAATTAGTCAACTTTTTTTCTCCTTTACTTGAAACATCTTTCCAGCTATTTTCAGAAGTATTCACATTGAATTTGCTCGTTTAATCCCTAGAATGAAAGAAACTCTAAATACTTTTTCATTTGATGTGTCAGTTGCCCCTTTTCTCCATTGCATTCATGAATGTTGTAATATCTTGTTGCATGTGTTGTGGAATAATCAAACAAGTTTCTTTCCCTTTTCCACTGCATGCTTTCATGTTTTTGTGTTGAAAATCTTGTATTTGTTGTAAGTACTTCTGTTGCAGGCATATAGCAGTATAAACATCGTATTCAATATCTATGTGTGTATTTGAGCAAGCTATGCATGCTTTATTTTTTCTTGTGTTTGTTAAAACAATGTTGTGTTGGTTTTAGAGCATGTGGATTATGTGTCAGTGTTCTACATCAAAATCTGTTCATGTTTTCTTAGCATGTTTTATGGGATTCAGCTTTCTCAGCTTTCTGTCTTATTACTTCACATAACATGCTGCATGCATAGATGCATCAATTAACATTGTAGGCATATCACTCTGTAGGGATGGGTGGATGGTTGGAAAACTTTTATGGATGGCCTGTTAAACTTCAATTGGTACTTGTGAATCAGTTGTAACATATGCACAGATTGTTTACTCAAGGTTGCATATTAATACTATTTCATATAGGATTTATCTACCGATATTTTTTTTTTCTTGAGTTTTACATTGAAAATGATTCGTTCCTGAAGAGTGAATGTTGAAAACAAAGACATATACATTTTCATGATTAAAATGGAATCTCCAGTTAGAAATAATAGTCTACATAAAAAAGGTCATGTTTGTCTTTAATATTTTCTGTGTGAAGATATTCTCTTCTATTGCCGCAGTCTTATTGTACGATATTTTCTCTCTCACTCTTTCTTTCTCTCTCTCTCTTTCTTTATCTCTCTTTCTTTCTCTCTCTTTCTTTCTCTCTCTTTTTTGCTCTATTTATTGTACTGCTTATTATCTCTGTGTCTTCCTTTATATCTTCCCCTTTCTTATATTCTCTTTATGCCTAAAAATATTCTATCCCTTTTGTCATAAATTCATTCAATATTATAAATCTTATAAATCTCACATTTTACATACTAGTCCCTGCAATTGCTATTGATAGGCATGACTATTTTAATCTAACACATCTTATCATACTTTCATATGTTTGAAAGATAAATTGAGTTCTGATCTTGCGATTTCATTGTGAAAGCCACTGTGTAGAAGCTATTGGATAAGGCTGATTTTGTAGCACATGAGTATTGGTGTATAATACAAGGTTTTGAAATCATAAAATGATAAGAAATTGGCCCAGTCTTGTTGATAGTCACATGTACTGTCAACACAGAAATGTGTTTATGGGACATACACAAACTTGTGGCATGAGGAGGTGGTCCACAACCTTTAGCTCTTAATTGTCTTATTTTGAATATGAGGGCATTTAAAGAGCCTCCCTTTTCAGGGCACATTTTTTCTATGATACATTTTCCACACTGACAATTAAAAAAATGAAAGAGCTCACAAATTATTTTTCACATTTGCCAGAACTCAACCTTTTCTTGAAACCATTAGTGGCAAACCAATACCATAACACAAGAAATCAAAATGTGTACATGGTGGGGAAAATGGAATTACATGTATTTTCTTTTTTTAAATGTCATTGTACCTGTAATTGTGTAATACAATCATTTTTTATCCGGGCGATTCCTTAAAATGTGTCTGGTATGATACATTTATATGACTTTTTCCCCATTTATTTCATCAAAAAGTGTATGACATTGTTGTTCAAGACGCACATTGCACAGGTTCGCACATCAAAGATCTGACGTTAACTGTCTGTGTGCAGCGTGCATGTTATTCTTACTAACTTCTCTCTTTTAACTTACAGTTGTTCCACCACATATGTGTGTTCACACCACCTGTTTACCCCTGTACTAATGCTGAGTTGCTGTTTTCATACTAATCAATAATGATTAATGCTTTCATGTGCTGTGTTAACTCACTTAACAATTTACATGATCATTGAGTTATAACAGATGTACAATATAATTTCAAATGATTTGGCACAAATGAAATGTTAATTTGTTAATATTTTATGCTGTGATAGTGATTTTTTTCATAATTCTGCCGGTAAGCAATGACTTAATGCTGAATTTGTTAGAAATGCACAGTATACTTGCAATGTATGTTTGTGGGTCCACAGTTTTTGAAAACCAGGAAAATGAATTTTCAAATATTGATTTCATTAAAAAAAAAATGAATATTGGTATCAAAAATTAACTTTAAGAGTTCTTGTTCAACAGTGCTGTTACTTTTACCCTTGATTATTTATTCCTCATGTTGACATGGGTAACTTAACTTCAATGAACTATGCAACTTACAGCAAAATAGGTATCATCTGAATGAACACTAACATGCAAATGTTGAGGGTCATGAATTGTATTGTAGAGTTTTTATGAAAAGTTGGCCAAATTAATTAACAAAGGGGATTTGATTTCAATAAAAGAATTGTCTAAATAATGGTTTACTCCACCATTGACTAAAAGAAGTGCAAATAAGTGTATATATTGGCATATTATTGCCCTATTGACAATGCATACTTTGCTTTATGGAGGTGGAAAATATGGGTTAACTTGAAAATACCTCTTTTGTGAATTCAGGCTTTTGAATCAAATAGGGATAAGAACGATATTGCATTGTGGGGTGGTTACCATTACCACTGCCTCTAATCTGAATCAATCTAACTTCATCCCACCATCAGCATTGTAACCAGTCATGCTAACTATCAAATATATTATAATCAGTCAAGCTTTCACTCACTTTTCAGCTTGTGTGGGTGTATATGCGTGTGTGCTATTTAACGATCATGACAAAAGAGAAATATACATATGTGCCCAAATAATGTTTGAATAGTACTCAGGATATTAGAATTTTTGTATTTTGATGGATAATATACATAATCTATGCACTCTGGATATAGGGTAGAAAGATATACATATTTACACTCTGCATAATGAGAAATATGAAATCTATTAGTAGTTTCAACTGCATGGGCATGCATAGCATTTTCAGATACAATAAGTGGAGAAAGTACATGGAAATGAATTTAGAGTCTCAGTCTGAATGCCTGTTTCAGGTTTAAATATCTCAACTTTATGCCTTACTCCGAGGGCTTTATAACATTAGAGAAAGAGGCAAATTCTAGAGTATTTACTATCTACATGTACCGGTAGACAGCTAAACTTCAGTCTTTAAAGTTTAAACTAGTCTTTCCTATTGTAACACAAAAGTGTAAGACTATTCTGATATTGTTTCTGTGTACTGCTTAGCTGTGAAAATGACAACACAGCGAATGTGCTGGTATACAGTAGCATGGTTTGGTAAACGTTTACAATTACATCAACAAAATTGAAATTATGCAAGTTCAAAAACAGAAAGCTGAGGACTACATGTATTTCCATGTACATCAAGACTTTGAAAATAATATCCCTTTTCCTCGTATTTTGATAATTTAGAGTTGAGTTAATGCTTACATTCAATCTTTTGTTAAAAGGATACATCTAACCAAACTCTTTGAAGAAATTGAATGTTCACAAATGGAAGTTTGAAGCAGGTGTGTATCTACCTACTAGTGTAGAAATGACACTCAGTACATGTTTTGATGAGCTTTAACACAGTCCTCTATACATGTATCTCCCCAACAGTGCAAGAAAGTTGCCGGTCCCGTACGACAGACCCGCAGCCAGCCCAGCACACTCGGACTCCTCCCTCTACAGCCATGGGGATCACAGGTCATACAGCAGGTCACGCTCCAGATCACATGACAAGTCACATGACATCAGGTCACATGACAAATCCCCGGGAGGGACATCCATTCGGTGACTGGCAGTTATGATTGGTCAAGAAGGGAAAATCTATTCAGTGCATTAATATTTCTTGAAATGATGACTATTTAGGCAGAAATATCATCTTAAAGTTGTATTGTTTGCTTTGGTTGTAAACATACAGTGGTAATGAAATTTATTGTTCAACCAAAAATAAAGTTTGGGCAATACAGGATATAACAGTGCAATGTAGAACATTTATTTATACGGTATTAAAGCCATTCCAACTTTATGAAATTAGGGTCAGCAGAATGTGTGTGTGATAATTACTTTTAGAGGATGACAAGGGTAGTTTCTGAACATTTGTTCACATCAAACCCTTCTGTATTATATGCTTGCTTTTGAATTATTAAAGTGCTTGAGTCAAAATGTCAAAGACTAAGAGGACTGTATTCTACTAATACTGTTAAATTTGACACTGGGTCTTTTGCCTCAGTCACACCTTTGTGTATACGGCTTGTGTATGGCTGCATATTTATGGCAAGCCATTTTAACATTTATTCCTATTTCTTGATACAGTCAAACCTGCTTTAGTGACCACCTGTCTACAAAGGACACCTGTGTACTAAGACTACTTTTTGTGTATCCCTTGGGCGGTCGCTATAGACCAGTTTGACCGTATCAAGAATTGAATTCTTGTTATCAAGAAATGATTTTCTGTTGAAAAGCAATGGTAATTCTTGATATCAAGAATTCATTTCTTAATATCAAGAAGTAGGAATAAATGTTAAAACAGCTTGCCATAAATATGCAGCAATACGCAAGCCAAATACGCAAAGGTGTGACTGAGGCATAAGATCATGTTTAACAAAAGGATAACTTTAACCTCAGACTAACTTACTTTGTTAAACCTTATTTTGAACAAAAGCCTAAACTCAGTGTCAGGTTAAATTTCAGTAGAATATGGGCCATAGAGTTAAAGAGAAGTGTACTAAGAAAAAGGATAATGGTATTAGGTGCATTGTAGAATCCTAGACTGTTCATGGACAATGTTTGAATATATCTTTCCATACTGATTAGAATACTTTATAGACATTCCACTTTTTATTTCACATATTTATCCTGACCTGCATTGTAATGATCCTAGTAAAAAAATTTCCAGCTCCATATGCTGGATTTAAATAAACAAAAAGTTCTTTGTTGGAAAGAGTTTGATTCTTCTCTCCTTTTCATGACCAATCATAACTGCCTACCTTGCCATATTTCCCGGTGAATGCGTAATCATTTTATTGCTCTATAACAATTATATCTCTGTTTATCAGGATTGCAAGGGCCTATTTCAGGATTTTCTCTCTACTGGTATATACTGTATATATCAGTCATAAATGGAAAGGAATTGTACATGTAGGTATTCATTCTTCAACTTTCTGTTCTCTTTATTTTTATACTCGAGAATCTAAGCAATTTTGTTCTCTACTTTACTTCTTCAAAAGTCAGGGCTCCATACTCACTTTTTGGAACGAGGTGCGAATTGAGTCTGTATGCCCTGTTGCATTCAGCTTAGCTTTGATGGTAACTTCCATGGCAACCTTGATTTGATTGGCTGTTGAGTGATACTGCAATGGTAATTCATATTGATGGCAAAGGTACCATCAGTACGTGGTAAGCTTTCTGCAACAGAGTCCTGGACATACATTTTTGTGCACTAATGTGTCTATTAGTTGTGAACCCTGATAACTTTTCCTTTACTTTAATAGAGCCCAAATCCACCGATAAGCAGAAATGTTAATTTTTTATTGCAAGTGTGTGCTGTGGCTGTTGACTATTAGTATTATGTATTCCTGCTTTTATAGGAATTGTACATGTTTGTATTTAAAGAAGACTTTTTAAAAACTTGGAAACTGTGTGTGGCTCCAATCTTTAAGAGCTGCCAGAGAAACTTCAACATTGAGTCGATTGAGAAACCCAAGTAATGTATAAACAGCATGTATGAAGTATATCATGAACACAGGCCATGATGTGAATAATGTCCAAACTATTTTTTATCTGCATAGAATAGTGCAAAGTGCCACTACATACATGTTTACTGCAACAAATATGAATATGCCAATCTTAGGATTGATGTGAACTGACTTGACTTATCCAGTATGGAAAATCCACATAATGTTTAGCTTTTTGTTGCCTCATTCACTGTTACATTTAACTGCACATAATTCCCAGGTGCTATGGGGTAATTTTTTAAGATGTTGGTGCCAAGAAATTCCTTACTTAATATAGGACACTCAACAAGTTTTTAATGCATGGATCTCTATGTCCAAGAAGAAATGGAAGAAAAGTGACAAAATCAGGAAGCTTTACTTCATCCCTATGATGCCATCTTTTGCTCAATTTGCAGGAAATAAATCTTAGCAGTAAACATGTATTTACTGGCTAGCAAATGATTATTCAGATTTGAAGTTGGCCAATTTCTGCCTCCCTAGTGTTCATTGTGTACCGGTATGTATCATATTTTAAATTAATTTTAGTTGTAACTTTTCCCTTGCCTGTTTCTCTTTTTTAAATTTAATTTTTACATTACGTCTCTTTATATCCAGTGCTGATATTGATGATTTGTAAATTGTAAATATCTTCTTTATTTTAATAGCCAATCATGGTTAAAAAGAAGAAATATATAACCTCTTGATGCAGTCAGACTTATGTTCCTGAGCAATGCTAAGTAATTTTATCAATGTCAATAGTATTCATCCAAGATGAGAGAAAGAAGACAGTACAGAGTTTAAGTGGTTCTTAGCATCTGGGGATATGTTCTGATGAGATTTTATCAGGCCTCACTGAATTAAATCCTTTCCCTACATGTCGTGGAGGAGAGCAACAAAAGACAAAATACTTTAAAAATCTTCCAAGCTGACAGATTTTTTCTTGTTTTCTGAAGCTTTACTTGACCGATTTAATAATTGTCTGATTTAATATTTCTTTTATCAAAACAAGAGCACAGTTCAGTGATTATTAGAAGTTTTAACCTGTTAAATACTAGATTTTCGCATAGGCTTAAGACATGAACCAACCCAGTTTCTGTATGCAATATGGGTTAGTATGGTTTGCAGTACTTTAAATAATTGGAATTAGGAAAACATTACATCCCATGATGTTTCTCTGTGTAGTACAAATATATGCAAGAAATAACTCTTCCCATATTCACTAGTTTATATTTTGAATACAGACTCTTTATTATGAGAATGGATGGAGACATAACAAAACTCTATTTTACTAAGCCAAACATTTCCCCAAGGACTCAGTTTTTTAATGTGTGTGTCTAATTCATAGGTCACTTAAAGAGAAAATATGTGTTGTTCTTACACTGTATCTTTTATGCAGTGCTACCTACAATGCACACCTAAAAATAACATAATTTAAGATTTGAAAATAAGCGTTCATTGTATTGAAATGTAAGGGCACTACATCAGCTGTGTAGTGCCTTAAACAGCTGTGGGCAAAAAAACTACCATTTCATTAGTAAATGGATACAGAATTGACCGATTTAATATTTCTTTTATCAAAACAAGACGACAAGTACTTTGATTGATATTATTATTCTTGTTTTGTGGATCTTATTTCACATTCTAAATAGCAAAACAGATTGTGAATCAACTTCAGAATATAAGTTTGAATGCACTTAGATAGCTAACAATGTGTGAAAATGAAATATCACGTGATAAATCAGTTTGTTCATTAAAAATCTTCAAAAATGTAGTATGTGTCTTGGAACTATTTGGCTTTATGTACGACTTGAATATTAAACATGCATTTAGGTATTTATTATTGTGCTGTTGATGAATATACCGTTGCAAGTATTGTTCTGTTGTGTTCATTTTCTATATAACGGAAGGGGTGAGAAAGAGAATACTAAAATAAAAAATAGTATACAAAAATAATAAAGTAAATAAAACCATTCACCATTTCTTACATAAAAATTGTTCAGTTTTCCTTGTTGTAATGTTGATTGATATTATATTATGCAACTCACTCCCAGATCCTAATCAAATGATTGGTCATGCGTGGTCATGTGTGATTCATTTACTGACACTATCCCACGGTTTTCATGAAAAAGCGTGCACTAGTTTCCAGTACTATCCCACAATTTTTTAGTGCATGTACTGTACATTTGTGAGCCTATTATTGCACAGCACTATGCGTAGAGGCAGGCGCGTACGCAGGGGAGGGGGGGGGGGGCTTTGGTATTTTTTATTTGTGTATTTTGGAGGAAAACCCCACCTCCCCCCCCCCCCCCCCCTTTTTGTTCATTTTTTTTTTTTTTTTTTTTTTAATAAAAAAAAAAAAAATAAAATAAACAAATTTACCAATGGCTGGCCTAAAAAAGGTGGCCTTACCCCCTGTCCCCCACCCCCCACCCCAACGGAGCAGAATGTAAAATTTTCAAATTTCGAGACCCCCCCCCCCCCCCCCCCCCCTGCTTATTCAGAGGCCGGCTGAGTCATTGCGAAATTTTGGCCTGATTTCAAAATGTTAAACCCCCCCTTGAAAACACCCTGCGTACGCCACTGCGTAGAGGTAAGTGCGCTTATCTATATGTGCACACTAAATTAAGCATATTAAACTTGATATTATTTGTCAGCCATACTGTCATGAAACAATCTTGATTGAAATCTTTTTTTACATCAAATAACAAGGATCTGGGAGTCTCGTAGTATAAAACAAATGATGCATGTTTTCATTCATTCATTATACTATCTATCCGCCCTTGTTGAGGCTGTGTGTATCTATCGTGCGATGGATACACACAGCCTCAAATCGAGTGCGTATAGATGGTAAAATGAACTCCAGCGCAAGCATCTGAAAAGATATATACTGAAAAGAGAAAAGGAAAGCGAGAGATGGATGAAAAGAGATGCATTATTTTCTCAACTCAAAAGGCAGTAAGAGGCTAGTTAGACCCTGCAGATATTGATACAAATAATGAGATTTTCAATTAATGGTACACCAGTAGTCCTATTACCATATTACATTGCCTATTCCGAATGATTGCTTTCGACCAATGTCGTTCTTTTCCTATCATCTGTACCCTGCTCAATTGATATTTCAGCAGGATTATTCAACTAAATATGAAATTACAAAGGCATACCGGTATGCACAATTGGAGGTTAAAATTTTACTGCTACCGGTACTTTATAATTCAGTTCATTGATTCTATACACGTGTAGATATTCAATGTAATAGTACATTTGTCTTCCTATCTTATTTTGTTATCTTTAAAACTTCACCATTCATCAATCTGGCTGTGAAGGTATGTCTTGATAACTATTGAATCTTGTGAATATCGTTACTGATAGTCTGACTAGCCCTTCACTTCAGAGTATCTAGCTCCGGGATCACCCAAATAATTATACTGTTTGAGAGCCAGTGCTCACAAGCCAGGCTATGAATGACCATTTTGAATAACTTCTGTCTCAATATGCCACATTCTACATTTTAATTCAGTACCTCATGCTTATTTCACCAATCCTTGCATTCATGTAACTCTTGATCACCAGTCATGCAAAATTACACACAAACTACTATTTTCAAACACTTATTTTGTCATTGGTTTTTAATTATTTTTTTAGTTATCTTTCACATGATGTATACAAATTCTACATGAACATCAACCTCATCAAAAGAACATAGTCTAAAACTAGTGTAAAAGAGTGTAAAACCAGCACAGAAAACATTTTGGATTTTCTTTACTAATTTCAACTCTTAATATATTATTCAACAATCTTTGGTTCCAAATCCTTAGCCTTAAAAATAGAAATTAGAAGAAAAATAGTTTGATTTTCCAGTAAATACCATAGAAATATAGGGAAAATTAGTCGAAAATATAATTTTTGCGTGTGAAAATGACCAGGGCATCCACATAATATTTATGTACAATTGTACAATGTACAATATAGAGGTGTCGTGGTTGAGTGGACTGTGGATCACAAGATCTACATTTGCCACTATCCACCCAGGTTCTACATAGGTCCTCGGTAGGATGCGAAAGTTAATGTGGTTGGATTAGCAAGTGGCGCTTGTAAAATGGCAACTGGCTAGAATGCTCCCCAGGGAGTGGAAAATGTGCACACATTATGTTAAGGGTAAGCCTGAATCCGATGACCGCGGTAATAATATGTGCTGTTCCTAGAAACAAAGTATTAGGTGCATTATAACATAATTTTTATGAGGATAAACCAATTAGTATAGTTGTACATATAGTTTTCATGACTTTGGCTGATAACAAAACATAGGCAGTGTATATTACCCAAAACGTGAAAACAAAACTTTAATAAGTACTTATTTGCCATAAAAGAACCAAATAATCATCATAAAAACTAATACTACAAGTAATAGTTCCTGGTGGAGTAAATGAACAAAAGTTTCATTACATGTAATAGATATATCATACTTCTCACCAAAAGAAAAACCATTATGATTGACGTAAAAATACATGAAATTTCATGAGGCACACATTTTTCAAAAGATAACAATGGTTGTCATGGGTTTTCTCCTTACAATTCACCATTTCAAAATAATTTTTATGCTTGGAATCTGATTTAAACCAGCTTGTAATTTTACTGTTAGTATTGTTTTTAATGTTTTCACATAATACATAAATTAGACACACAAGTCCCGTCAACAATATTGACATATTTTTATTGATTAATAATGCCATGATTGATGTACAAATAATGCATGATGTAAACTTCACATTTTCAGAATGCTGACATAAACCAAATACTGTTTCCTTGCAGAGGAGCATGGTAATTCATGCATACAAAATTCTCTAAGAGACCCTGAGCTGAATCTAAACAAAAAATCCATCCAAGATTAAAATTTCATTTTCAAATTAAAACGAAACATGAAGCATAATTACAGTGTATGATCTGCCAATTTCCCCTATAATCATACCATTATTATTATTGTCTCTTTTTAACCAAAGTTGACCAAATAGCAAATGTGCGAATTGAAATATGCTATAAATTTGGAAGAATGGTCCAAACCCAAACAATCTTGATACAAATATATTATCAATGATGTTATTTTGACATAGATGCCAATTCATAATAAGAGTAAATGGGGGCATGCTACAAGAGTCCTATCTCGCACCCCGGGGCAACGTGTCTGACACGGCCGGTTGTAGCAACTACTCCGAAGATCAAGATTACGTTAATCTTGATCGAAGGAGACACGAACGAACGAATAATAAGAGTACACCACTATGACGTATGATGAGATTATTTTCTTGAGAGTAGGATTTATAATACTGAGCATACTCTACTCAGTAGATGAACCTGAACCTAGGGTCAGTGTGTGACATTTACTAAAGCTGGCTTCATCGGGATGAACTTGTAAGGAGTAATATTATGGGAATCATTATAGCAGATATTTGTTTCATCTGCATTGCATTTTTTTTTAATGAATGTCCTTTTTTTATGAGAATCATAGCAGATATTTTAATTGTTTCATCTGCATTGCATTTTTTTTTAAATGAATGTCCTTTTTTATGAGAATCATTATAGCAGATATTTGTTTCAGCTGCATTGCATTTCGTTTTAATGAATGTCCTTTTTTATGAAAATCATTATAGCAGATATTTGTTTCATCTGCATTGCATTTTTTTAAATGATTGTCCTTTTTTATGAGAATCATTATCGCAGATATTTGTTTCATCTGCATTGCATTTTTTTAAAATGAATGTCATTTTATACGAGAATCATTATAGCAGATATTTGTTTCATCTGCATTACATTTTTTTTTTAATGAATATCCTTTTTTATGAGAATCACAGCAGATATATGCATATCAATTCATATCAATTCCATGAGAACCATAGGAGATATTTGTTTAATCACTAGTATATCAATTTTTTAATGAGAATCAAAAGTACTGATATCTGCATTTTAAGAATATCATAGCAGATATATGCTTGATCACATTAATATTCATTGCAAACTTCTCATTGTACATGTATGTACATAATGGCGAGACATAAAAACTGGCATAATACCCTGATCAGTGCAAGTTATTCAAGCACTATACTCTTTTATAAAATCTACTACTTTTCAATGGTTGGAGTATTCTTAAGAAGCATACTAAACTTTAGTCCAAGTTTCAAGTGTCAACCTGTTCATTTTACAAAAATTTTACATGATTTTCTTAACATGTAAACAAACAAATAAACATTATGAAATCAATTTCTCATCTTTTAATGCTATGGATGGATTTATATACTTAGTAAATTCATTTTATTACACTATTACATTTAATTTGTAGAAAACAAAGAGCTTGACACACAAATATGTGGACTGCTCTCGTTTTCAGTTTGCCTTCATACAACCCCAATGTGTGAAACAAGTGGGCAATTGGTTCAATACCTATCTCATTTACTTGCATGTCAACATTATTACCTGCATGTCACAGTAAGGCATATCAGTTTGAAATCGATTAAGCCACGCACAGATTTAAAGTTTGATGTGAAAATCTATGGTTCTGACAAATCTGCCTGGTACTTTATGTCAGAATCAAAGCTACAGGAATTAGTTGCCGACTGATTATAGGGCAGGTTAAATAGTAGAATGGCTGTCCAAATGATCGACTGGCTTGTACTTATCCATCAGGCTAGTATACCCTGCTAAATTATCATCTAGAATTGCTCATCTTCTCCTCATCACAGCTAGATAGATGGTCCATACGAAGGCTATTACACTGGCAAACAGAACACGGAACTGCAAGAACAAGAAAGAAAGGAGGAAAAAAAAGGAGGAAAAAAAAGGAGGAAAAAAAAGGAGAAAAAAAAGAAATACAAAGAGCATTATTCAGCATCTAAGATATATGTCAAAGTATTGTTTGACAATCTACAAAGATTAAGCCAGTGCTTCAAGACAAATAAAGCTGTCAATAATGATTATAAGGCAGCTTTCCTCTATATGTGTATACACACATTACTGCACAACAAATTATAAGATTAAACCTCTACATGCACTGCATATTAAACAAATTGTTGATAGTACAGAAAACTATTGCATGCTTTAAAGGGATCGTTTAACAATGTTAAATCTGAGATACACGGCCCTACGTATTATCAGTGTCTGTGATAAGGTGTAATAATGAAGCGCTTCAAAATGATCAAGAAGTGCCTCAAAAAAGTACAAATCTTTGAGTGACCGGTTTTACCATACTCGTTTTTCCCAATAGACTGTAGTGTAATGAAAACCGTTTAGCAAACGGTTTTCAAAATTTGTAATTTCAATCATAAATATCTTGATAATCAGACAGGCGATCGGCTTGTAAAAGTCATGGGGTTCCTGACTGACCTAAAGGTTTATAATTATCATTGCAGCACGAGCTAAATCCAGAATTTTGTTTCAGAATCTGAGACAAAGTTACCGGATCCCTTTAAATGAAAAAAACATGGGATAGTCTCAGTACACGAATCACACATGACTGCTTTGACCAAGCATTTGATTAGGATCTAGAAGTGAGTTGTATTAAGGCCTTATTTCACTCAATCTGGGACCAATTGACATGTCAAAGTGTACTTTCAACCTGGGACTCCTAAATTCACTGTCCTGGGAAGCATGCAGTAAAGGCACATTTCTTTGAATTTGAACCATTGACAAACAATTTTCTAGCAGGAAACTGGGTACTGGTAATATCACGGTAAATAGATGATTCACATGCAGTTGACTAACCTGTAAAGGTACATAGTTTATATTGATATACTGACTGATAGTCCATATCCTCCAATTCATCTTCAATGCTATCCAGTATGTCTCTCTAATCTTCTCTACAGACACAGCATGACCTTTACCCTGAAAGATGGAGAAAGAAACAAAGAGAATGTATATAAAGAAGACTTATAGAGATATGTGACAAAGAAAGAGAGATAAAGGGAAGAGAAGAACAGAAATAGGAGAAGCAGAAATGCAGAAATAGTAAGTGACATAAGAGAAGAAGAGATACAAATTCATCAGCCTTTAAAGTCCATTTGTCCCACTTTGTGGGGTTGGACATTTCATTTCCTTAATGGCTGCTTTCCAAGCTTTCCTGTCTGTGGGATCCATATGACTAATACCCGACGTTTTGGCATCTTCTTTCCATCCAAGTTTTCCTGGGTCTCCTGCGAGGTCTTCTTCCGGTGACCGGAAAGTTTAGAGCCCATTGGAGCCAGTGTGTTGCCTCTCTTCTTGCCACGTGTCCAAACCATCTAAGTCTATTGATCCTCATAACCTGTGCCACCCCCATCAATCCCATACATATTCAGAGTAGGTTTAGGGCAGATAAAGAGACAGAGGGAGGGGGGTAAAGGTAACAAATAGAAGCAGAGAGATAAAAACAACAATGAAGATAGTGAGGAGAGGCAAGAGAGGCAGGGCAAGACATACAAACACAAATAGACAATAGAGACCCAGATGCAGATTCAGTTCAGCATGAGCATGAGAAAAAGAAATGTGTGTGTGTAACAGAAGAACATGAAAAGAAGCACACCAGGCAGGTGTAAAATTTAAGAAATACAAATTTCAAAGTCTTCTTATACCTACTTCTACAGTTTACCATATTTTATTTGGTACATCATCTAAAATAGTTCTCAGTCTTATATAATACTTCTCTCTATTTACTATCACATCCATTTACTAAAATATGAAAATTGAATTAGACCGAAGAGGTATTTGTAGCCTTCTGTCAGGTACACAATGAAATCTCTATTGATAACATCATACTTGAACACTCCAGCTCTGCACAAAACAGTTGTACAACACTTGCTCCTGTGATAACTGCTCTATGGTAACTCCTAACTTCCATATACCTAATCTAAAACCCAACTGCAACCCTAGCCCTAACCTCACACTTAGGATGAAATAAAGCCTGGAGTAAATGTTCGACCACCGCAAACATTACCTCAATGATTCCTAACAAGTAGAAGAAGATCAGGAGGTAGGGCGGGGCAAACACCAGACGGTCGCATAGGATTTTCTTGATAGACGTAGGCACATCTTTGCCTGGGAACGTCTTCTGGAGCCATGCATAGAAGTAGTGAGACAGCGGTCCTGTGAAGAATGTCCTGTGAGATAGAGATTGAGAGAGGGAGAGAGGATCAACAGAAAGAAAGAGAGAAAGCGTGAGGGATTAAATCATTGCAGAATATAAAACAAGAAACAATATCTTCCAAAAGGAAATGAGGAAAGAACAGTCCTTGATTGACAGAAATAAGAACACAATGAACAAGAAATAATCCATTAATTGATTTCATTAAGCAGTGAGATGCCATTATTACAGAGTATTTTGCCTCTCTTCTTTTTTTACTCATTCTTATTTGGAGTGATAACCAAATGAAAATTTGTCTGATGACTGATCATGACAGACCCAATTTCAATCTATTTTGTTAACAGAATGTCCAGGGGCAGTTTGTAAGATAATTAAATGCAGTTGCCCTGGCCAATCTGATAAATGATTTGAATTGATTTGTAGCTCCCCCCCAAAAAAAAATAATAAAAAAATGCCCAGGATAAATTATGAACTTGATGCCCCCCCAATACCCTACACAAGGGCACCAATTGACAGCAAGAGATAGGGGCATTTTCTGTTTTCCCCTACATAATCTGAACAGATTTGACAGTGACCATATGAATACATTTAACACTGCATAAACTCGAAAGTCACACAAGTCAAATTATCGGTCTATTAAAGTCCAATTAATTGATGGTGGTCCAGATTTGACTTACCCAAGAACTGCAAATGCTGCTGTTGACCTGACAGTATACGGAGAAGATGGGTCAACTAACCTCTGTGCAATGATATCTCCAATACCAGCGATGGCACCACTGAAAAGAATAGCAAAATAGAGAAGAGAACTCAGAACAGTGAAAATGTGCTTCTTCAAGGGTCTTGCTGGAGCTTGATGTTGACGACCTTGCTTGCTTGATTTCAGCTGGAAGAAACATTGCAAACTCTTTAGAGGTCAGCATTTTTGTAATTATCATCAGGAACATGTGGACGGTAGGCAAATCACTATCACTCCGGTATCAAAATCTCATATTTTTTTGTTAAATACTTGACTGATTTCAAAGTGCTGTGTACAAGAAAGAAGAGTCCACTACTGACTAGCAAACTCTGAAGCCAATGTGCAATATTCATTTGGTTTTGGAAGGGGTGATTTCAAGAGCATTTTAGGATTTGTTTATCTGCCACTTCACGCAAGAAAATGGGTTAATTTGTATGGGTGCCAATTAAGGGGTGCTTGTTCAGAAACGTATCCCAAATTTGACCCATAACTCCAGCGTGGAGATACCCTACTAACACATACCCAAAATGAAGTAAATATTTATTAAATGTCCAAATAAAGATCATGAGTTAAAAGTGGTTATGTTTATTACCTGTTTCGTGTCAATTTTCTTGTTATTTTTGGAATATTTTTCGGATAAACGTTGATATTAGTATACACTTTTTCACGGCAAACCGCTGCACAATACATCTGCATACCGATGGTGGGTTGCGGGCGCGCGCCTGTGTGAAATTATCTACCGTAATGAAAAATTGTTTTATCTTTTATCTTATCTTATATTGGATGGTATTTACAACAATATTTACAACAGGTAGGGGGTTGTTGTATCTTTCTTGGTGATATAATGGCGGCAATATTTCTTGCCCAGAACCAACTCCGTGCCAATAGACGAGTTAGAAGATTGTGTGTTGACCGGAAACATCACAGATGAGAACTTTCTAAGAAATTACATGCTAGGATATGACGATTTTAACAACTCGACCATAGCAGGTTGTCCAGGGTAACGTGGCGAGATGTCCAGGGTATTGTGTCGAGTTGTCCAGGGGCGAGTTGTCTTTTTAGCGAGTTGTCTGGAATTTGGTGAAACCATACGTGACACGATATCTAATGCTAATTGCACAATATCTGACGGGTAGTTGTCTTATCTCGCAGACGTTTTCATTTATTGCTTTGTCGCAGGTTTAAAGCACTTAGGCCTCTTATTTTGTACGAATTTAGACTATAGAAATGCCTATTATTAGTATTATTATTTTTATTAGTAAGACCCCACAATTGCATAATTTAATATTATACTTGGGAATTATATAGTAATGCTCCGCCACCCCTGTCGGCTTAGTTGGGCTGAAATGTATATGTATTTAATAACAAACTCTAAAAACGCTCGTACGCAATAGCCTACCACTGAGTTGTGTACACAACCGATAGCGTCCATATCAACAAGCGAGGACATGCAAGTATTCGGACGTAAGAGGTCGAGACCGGTCTTTAAAAAAAACGTAATTGAATCCGAAAATGGCGCACGTTAGCGGAAGACGATTGGGCTTTATGCAAACAAGTATTCTAGGCCAGATGTCTGGAAACCAAGGAAATTTCCACCAACGAAACTTGTAAGTTCCATTCTTTATGTATTTGTGATGGGTTATATCCCATGTAAATTATTAGTAGATCTTTTTAAAGGATCATAGTACATTCTTTTTAAAATTTTGCTTTAATGTACTGGGGCCAGTGTTGTGTGTTATACTACACAGCCAGGATAGTGATGCTCCTATGTGTGAATACGGATCCGGGCTAACTCGGACCAGGGGACAACTCGGCCCAGCTGCAAAAACGGTAATTTTTTGTCATTTTACCCTAACTCTAACTCTAACCCTAACCCTAATCCTAAACCTAACCCTAACCCTAACCCTAAACCTAACCCTAAACCTAAAACGACAAAAAATGACCGTTTTTGCAGCTGGGCCAAGTTGTCCCCTGGTCCGAGTTAGCCCGACTCCGTGAATAGTCTATGCATTAGCATTGACTCTCTTAGACCGAAAGCTTCAGTCTCTATACCGTCGGTTGTTCCACTGAGACTACGTCTGGCTCCACTAGACCTCCGGTTATAGAGACAGAACGATCGCCTATGCCAGCCTATGTTGAAGATATCACGGCTAGATTTTAGCCGTTAGGCCCCTCCCACAAACATGAACAAACTTGCCACGGCCGTATTGTTATGCCCCCAAAATCCCCCAAAATGTCATTTTACCTCGTGCATATCCAATTTTACATTAGGCCTAGGCTATAATACATCGGTTCCACTTACTAACTTGATTGAAATAATCCGTTTAATGGTCCCTTTTAAGGAAATTATGGGTCAAAATCGACATCCATGTTGAAAATCTTGCAAGCTGTGTTAAACTCTCGCTGCCGTCAATCTCATCCCTTCTAGTCTACGCCGAAGGCAAAATGATTATGAAGGAAAAACTGTGCGCCATCTACACGTTCGTAATGGCGTTATCACAGTTTTTCCTTCATAATCATTTTGCCTTCGGCGTAGACTAGAAGGGATGAGATTGACGGCAGCGAGAGTTTAACACAGCTTGCAAGATTTTCAACATGGATGTCGATTTTGACTCATAATTTCCTTAAAAGGGACCATTAAACGGATTATTTCAATCAAGTTAGTAAGTGGAACCGATGTATTATAGCCTAGGCCTAATGTAAAATTGGATATGCACGAGGTAAAATGACATTTTGGGGGATTTTGGGGGCATAACAATACGGCCGTGGCAAGTTTGTTCATGTTTGTGGGAGGGGCCTAACGGCTAAAATCTAGCCGTATATCTTCAACATAGGCTGGCATAGGCGATCGTTCTGTCTCTATAACCGGAGGTCTAGTGGAGCCAGACGTAGTCTCAGTGGAACAACCGACGGTATAGATAGGGAGGCCAATGCCCGGGCGTAAGGCTTCTACGCCTACGATTTGTGCGCTCGTCGTCAAAGTCAGAAAATTACCAGAAGAAAAAAAAAGGGGAAAAAAAAGAAAACAAATATCTATGGAATAAAATGTATAACAAATACACAATTACACACTCCACAACATACCTATAATCACGGATCTGTAACAGTCTTTCACCCTTTGTTGACGATCTTGCAGATTTTGACGTATTTTGATCCAATAATTGCGCTAGCAGACGAAAATAACGGACGCACAAGAGAAACTAGAAGGGTCCTAGAGGGCGATGAGGTTAGCTCACTAAAATCCTTCTCAATGACTGAAGGTAGAGCCTAAAAATATGGAACCAATTTAATATCAAAGAACTTTTGATAGAGATTAACATATCAGTTGTGCACAAATGTCACTTTTAACAACTAGAAAATATAATGAAAAACGATCATATCTTTTTAATTGCAGATTTTTACAAACTGCACATACGAAGGTAGATAGAGTACGATGTTTTTGTCAATCTTGCGTTGGTTTGAGCCCCATAGCTAGAGCCATCTCAAATTGGGGTGGAAAACTGTGAACAGAGACATGATTGTTCGAGCCCCAAATTGAAGTCTTGCGACATCATTATATGAATATGTATGAGCTCCGGTCTCATCGCGCGCAAAACAAATTTGACGTAGTCTCACACATAGTACCTAATCTCAGCACTAGGTCAGTGTCGTGCAGTAATGTATGAGAAGTGTAAAAAAAGACATTTCAGTAAAAAAAAAAAGTCTACGTGAGCAGTCTATACTCCAATTGAGAAGTGTAATGAATGCCATGATTTGAACGTGTGTGTTTTAGTGTATGATATCATCATATGGTTAGTGAGAGAGAGAGAGAGAGAGAGAGAGAGAGGGAGAGATATATCTCCGTCAGTACACGTCTATCAATGCGTGCAGTCCTATTGACTATGTTTGATTCCGTATTGTGTTCGCTGCAACTGTTGGATTTATCGATCGTATTGTGTTCGCTGCAACTGTTGGATTTTGCAGTGTCAGATTGATCTTTACTCATGAGGAAATAATTGGAATACATATCAAAACTAAGGTAGGCCTATTTATTTATTTCAATAATTTTCTTAATTTACAATGAGTGGTTTTCGAGCTTTCTCTTTTGACCCTCCATGCCGTGGCATGGCTAGCATGGCTCGATTGCGGCTTGCATGCAATTACCGTACCTGGACGGCCTGCAGTACTGTGTCGGTGTGTGCGACTAATTCAAGGCTAGCCGGTGATGATGAATGTACTTTCGCGCGAAGTTTTGAACTTGTTGTCCGGGCAATGACCATGATGACACGCCCATTCCCTCGGGCCTGTCTAATTCTCGACGTAATTTTTGGGACCATGGAATTGATTGTTTCAAGGCTCTTGCGTACGGCCAAGCGTAGAAGGAAGGGAGTGCTTAAAAGCTGGATATCTCCTATTTTATGGAACTTCTGGAGTCGGCAGATGGGTGAGTTTTCTTAGTGAAAGTAAATGCTTTCTTTTAATCTTTGTTTTATTTTAAACAAATTCGTAATTAAAAAGTTAGATTTGGGCATTGGCCTCCCTAGTATATAATAGAGACTGAAGCTTTCGGTCTATGACTCTCTATGCTTTGCTGGAGTGGTCTATCGTAAGATAAGAATAGAGGCTGTCCTTCAAGATTAACACAGGGATAAAATGATTTTCAAAATACCGACTTACAACAATAATAGCTCTGTGTTATCTCTGGGAGATACAACAAAAGACAACACAGAACTTACAACTTACAACTCACAGTCATACTCATAGTCACACTCAAAAGATTGGAACAACCTAACCTTCCCAACCAAAAACTTGAATACACACGTAGTCTAGCCTTTAAAAATCAATTAAATAAAGACCTCTTGAAGCTGATCTAAAATGCACGACGCACGATAGATGTCCGGATTCCTTTCAGAAGATTTACTAGGGAGGCCAATGCCCGGGCGTAAGGCTTCTACACCTACGATTTGTGCGCTCATCGCCCACTTCAAAAAATTAGCAAAGGGAAAAAAATGATGTAAAAATAAAAATTGAAGAAAATATGAAAAGAAAATACAATTATACATTTCACAACATACCTATAATCACGGATCTGTAACAGTCTTTCACCATTTGTTGACAATCTTGCAGATTTTGACGTTTTTTAATCCAATAATTGTGGTTGCAGACGACCTTGACGCACTCGCACCACCGACTAAGAAAATCCTAGAGGGCGTAGAGGTTTGCTCACTAAAAACCTTCTCATTGGCAGAAGGTAGACCCTAAAAATATGGGATCCGTTTTGAGTAAAGAACTTTTGATAGAGATCAACATTTCAGATGTTCACAATTGCCACTTCTAACAACTAGAAAATATAAAGAAAAAAGATTATATCTTTTTAAATACAGATTTTTACAAACTGAACATTCGAAAGTAGATAGAGTACGATGTTTCTGTCAATCTTGCGTTGGTTTGAGCCCTATAGCTACATCCATCTCAAAATGAGAAGGAAAACAGTGAACAGTGACGTCATTGTTCGCGCCAAAAATAAAGGGTATTGCGACATAATCTGAGCTCCGGTCAGAGCGTGCCCAAAGCGTAGTCTTATTTATAGACCCTAGTACCTTATTCTCACAGCACTAGATACGAGTGTCGTGAAGTAATGTATGAGAAGTGTTAAAAAAGATATTTCAGTAAAAAAAAAAGTCTACGTGAGCAGTCTATACTCCAATTGAGAATTGAAATGAAAGCCATGATTTGAATGTGTGTGTTGTATGATACATGGTTAGTGAGTGTGTATGTTACGTATAGCGAAAGGGAGAGAGAGAGAGAGAGAGTGAGAGAAATATTAGTACACGTACGTTGCATGCATGGATGTGCGCTATGATTGTGTTCGCTGCAAGATGGATTTTAATTGGACCTCGTAACTTCTCGATCGTTGATAATAAGGAATACTCATGAGGAAATCAAATTATTGGAATACACATCTAAGGTAAATATCAATGAATTATATATATTTCTTTCCTTTTTTGAACCATCGTCTTCGGCTCGTAGTAGTAGAAGATGTAATCGTTCGCACATTGATGGCTGGACTTCAGCCTGCATCGGGGCTTGCCTGTGTCGGTGGAGGGATCAACTAAGAAGAAGAAGGTGTGTACGTGTGCGACCGATTCAAGGCTAGCCGCTGTTGAGTGATTGCACTTTCGCGCGAAGTTTTAAACTTCATCATGAACTTTGTCCCTCGGGCCTGTCTAATTATGAACGTAACTTTGCGACATGAATTATAATTGTTTCAAGGCTCTTACTAGGGTGTCTGAACGATTTTTCAATTTTCAATTTGGGATCGTTTTTCACCATTTTTGTTTGATATTTGAATAAAAAATGTTATCAGAATAATACATTTCAAATTTCAAGTCTCACCGATGTTTCTATCAAAAGTTACAGCCCCTCCAACACGCTGGTATATTCATATCATTTTGGTCAAAATCGTCGAAAAAGACGTCCACGCAGAGTGATGTTGTTTTGCTAAATTTAGCCAAACAGCTGTATCGCGCGATATGCAAGCGTATGCATATCGTACGCATGCTGCTAAGCCAATCCGCGACTTGCAGCTTGAGCTACGCTGTCTCCGCGACATGTGCGATTGACTAGTATGGTTGGCGTTCGTCGCACAATAAACCCGGAAGTGAATGCACGTTATAGTCAATGGCAATATCGCGGAGACAATCTCCGCGATATTGCCATTGACTATAACGTGTATTCACTTCCGGGTTTATCGAGGGAATTTCCAACCATAATTTCAGTCACTTGAATTTGGGGTTTCGTTCGTGCGCGGAGATGTTACGCGATGTAACCATGGTTTGGACTGAGCGGAGCGCACGCCCCCTAATTAGCTGATCCACCAAATAGCGAGAAGGGTATTTTTAAACTGTTATCAGTTGTGATCCCTGGGGGCTAGCGAAAATATAATCACATAGAATTGTTCCTTAGGACTGGGACTACTTATCGATCGGGGCGTCATATCTCAAAAGTGACAAACCTCAGAGTTAGCCAGGACACAATGTTTAAATTGCTGTTTTGACCAAGATATTTTTAGAATTTCGGGGGCTACGCCCCTTTGGAAATATTGGAATTCACCTGCTCTTTCATATGACACCTCATTCATTGATTATCACCTTCAGGATCACAACTGATAAAGGTTTGAATCTCGATTTGAAAAAAAAAAATTGACTTTTTTTGCATGGTCGCGCAATGCACGTAGGCTGCATAGGGATGCGTGTAATCTCTATGGGAAGAATTTTAGCACACAACATCGGGTGCGCGATCAGACACCCTACTCTTACGTACGGAAAGGCGTAGAAGGAAATGGCTACAAACCAGCTGGATATCTCCTATTTGATGGAACCTATGGAGTCGGCAGATGGGTGGATTTTCTTAGTGAAAGTAAATGCTTTCTTTTAATCTTAGTTTTAGTATAAACAAATTAGTAATTAAAAAGTTAGATTTGGGCATTGGCCTCCCTAGATTTACATGTCTTCTTCTGCACAATGTCTGGCTTCTTTTACTTGCACGCACCACGCACTCACACACTACCACTATTACTCCACCCTGGACAGCTGTCAACGTAGCTTTTTGGGTGCAACAAATTCAAGATTCAAGATTCAAGATTCAAGAATGTTCAGAATACCACCCCCGATGTCGTGATCTCCCACGCCCACCGGCCAGCACCGGAACGCTGGTCACTTTTGCGCCTACACTGCTGGCTTATTGCACACAACCCTCCCGCTCATTCATCATTGCGTTCGTAATCGTAGCTGTAGCCGTTCGAGTATGTACAAAATAACACTAAATGATAATGGGACATCGACATACCTTGTAAGTGATTTCGTAGTGATCGGTTTCTCTTTCAATAACCTCAAATAACCTCGGAGGAGTATTTGAAGTGATCCTTGTTCCTTTTTTGTAGTTTCCATCGTTGATTTTCGACTTTCTTGCACGTAGATTTATATTAAAGTTAATATGTAACAACAGCTCTAATTGGCCCAATTTTATGCTGCAGTATAAATTGAAGGAAGAACGTAATTCGTGATTGGACTTAGGTAAGGTACTGACATTGGAAACAACTATTTTTTATAGGGGTATTTTGAAAAAAGTGTTTTAATATATCATTCATTTTTAAGAAGAAAAAATAGAAAATTGATATTAAAAAAATTATGAATTGAAGATGAAATTCAAAATTGAATATCATTATTTATATTTAACTTGTTATAATAATTTATCAATTGATTTACTAATACCCTACCAATCATACAGTACCCCAGTATAAAAAATGAACTCATCCGCAAGACCTAATGCTGTGTATGTATACTGTATTTGCATTGACATCAACATGTTAGAAGTGTTACTGATAATGAAGCCGGAAATTTACGACTTCTGGTGGTAACTTTCATCATTATTTCGATAATTTCATGTTTTAAATCGTGAACTGGATACTTATAATATCCTAATGGACTTTGAATTTCTCAAATGGTACATGAAGGCAATTTTTGCAGGTAAGTTTTACGACTAGAACTTTATCTAACGTCTACTTTTCTTATTCTTAGTTACATTTAGCTTAGACTCTACTACTACTAGGTCTAACAGTTACGACTTTAGAATTAATAGTTAGACTAGAGTTATAGTACTTAGATTTCTAGAAGGGAAAGTCCACAGTGATACTGATGATACTGATGATACTGATATTGATAACTGATAATTGTGATGTATGAAACTTTAAAACCAAGCCTAGCCTTGGGACTAGCTAGAATTTAGAAAGGGAAATCAGGAGATTCCAATTTCAACCTAGATCTAGGCTAAAGTTAGATTTCTAGGTCTAGAGTCTAAGTTGAAGTTGAATCATTGAATTACAATGATAGTTAATTGATAGCAAATTTCTCTAGTCTAGACCCTAGACGTAGTCTATAGACCTAGATCTACATTTGTAGAGTAGATTTCTAGAGCGCTGTAGGCCTATAATGGCAGCCGTGCTAAAGCCTGGGTAATATTACCAGGGTCGACTTGCTATGCCTATGGGCTATGCTCTACAGAATCCGCTGGGACCTGGTAGGAATTCCAGACAACTCGCCACAAAGACAACCCGCCCCAAGACAACCCGCCACAAGACAACCCGCCACAAGACAACCCGCCACAATACCCTGGACATCTCGCCACAATACCCTGGACAACTCGCCACAGGCGAGTTGTCCAGGGTGGGGTGCCTTTTCGGACAACTCGCCACACTTTTTTCACCTCATGATTTCTAGATCTAAAATCCCTCATCTTAGATGAAATTATCATTTTTCATGATTTTCATGCTTTTATAAACACAGTCATTTCAAAGAATAAAGAATAAAGCTGATTTCCCTTGCAACAATAATATATTTTTGACAAACCGAAGGCGTACGATCGCCAGATCATTGGGATAACTTGGTATTTAGATCTAGAGGTCTATAGCAGCTGCATTTTTCTGTCTCAGAAATTGTTTAATGGTAGGATATTGGAAGCACTGGTGTACTGATGGGGGGGGGGGGGGGGGGGTTATTTGACCCGCGAAATAAAATTGACATGTGATTTATTTCTAGATTTTCTGGGTTAGTTTCGTCAGAGGCGGCATTCTTCATTGGGGGGGGGGGACACTGTGCCCCCACTTTTTCGGGTTCCCCTAAAGTGCCCCCTTTATCCTTTGTACATGTCCTTTTTCCCTTCTGATAATTTTTAATGGTAGGAATTCATGGAAGGGTACTGGAAGCACTGGCGTCCTGATGGGGGAGGGGGCAGTTGACCAGCGAAATAAAATTGAAATATGGTTTATTTCTAGGTTTTCTAGGTTAGTTTCGCACAGTCCAAAATAGATTCTTGTTGCGGGTCTTGTTGCAAGCGCAAGGAAAATCATCTTTATTCTTTAGAACAGCTCTCAAAATACTCACAATTTCCATGTTTCCTGTCATGACTGTGTTTATAAAAGAATAATGAATACATACAATGACAATTTCATCTAAGATCATGAAGATGAGGGATTTTAGATCTAGAAATCATGAGGGGAAAAAAGTGTGGTGAGTTGTCCGAAAAGGCACCCCACCCTGGACAACTCGCTTGTGGCGAGTTGTCCAGGGTATTGTGGTGAGATGTCCAGGGTATTGTGGCGGGTTGTCTTGGGGCGGGTTGTCTTTGTGGCGAGTTGTCTGGACCCCCCTGGTAGATATCAAGTGGAAACAACATCTCACTGAATCTACATCCATCACAAGACTAGTATTAGTAAGAGGTCATGGCTCACGTTTCTGGAATCCCCACTGCAGCTCCCAAGTGCACTCTTCCTCCTTCTTTCACCGCACCAGCAAAGAATGGAACTCTCTGAAGAAAGACCCAAGAGAGTTGGTCTCACTCGATGTCTTCAAAGTGGCATTAAGGGATGGCACCATGTAGCATGCAGACTAGACAGAAATAACCATCTGATTTGGGTCATTTCTTTAATAAAACTGACATTTCTTGACATTCCCCAATACAGATGGTAACCCAGAGATCTCGTACCGTGGGGGTAGCTAGAGCCAACAATGTACATCTTTTCGTTCAAAACATTTTCTCCCCGATTTTCTTTATTTAGATCTAATTTTCTGATTTCTAAATCAGATGTAAATTAGGTCGGTACAGAGGTACAGAAATTGGCCAATTTATCCCCCCATTGCGAGTCATCGAGATTACCGTCTGTATATGGGGAAAGTCAACAAATGTCAGTTTTATTAAAGAAATAATCCATATCAGACGAATATTTCTGTCTATACAAGAACCCACTATTATTATCATTAATGAATAGCAGACATGATCGAGGGAATTAAGAGAAACGATTAAAAAAAATTAAAAATTGAGCAGCGCCGTCACTTGGCGACTGTTGGCGTAAACATGTTTTATTGTACTCGTAGCAATCACCACAATAAAAAGGCTAGATCTAGATCTTCTTTTTTTTTCTGTGCCATGTCTAAAAAATACATGTAGGGGTCTGTAAAAAAAATATTTAAAAAAAAATAATTAATTGGCCGCCGAGTACTCCAGTACCAGTATCTGCCTGTAAGCCTGACAGGGTACTCAAGTACCTCATTACATTACATTAAAGGGACTTTTAGGGTATCATTGTTCAGATGAGAGAAAATGGTGCTAAGGTAGTGAGTCGTGACAATGCTAGGTGTTAAAGATAATCTAGAGGTTGAGCGAAAACAGACCATTATTAATGATAAAAATTGAGGAAAACTGATCAGATTGATTCCTTAATTCTCCCAACTACCGGTATATTATTACAATTTAATAACGATGTAGGTAAATGTATATCGTCACAAAGCAATGAATTCGCTCTAGGCCTATATATACACATGTACTGTACATGTACCATTCCTGACATTTAAGATTTGAAAGATTTGTAAAAGCATGTCTTATTTTCATTGAAAAAAGGGTTGGGGAAAATTCAAAAATGGTTGGGAGAATTTATTGTTAGAGGGTGTCGCACAGTGACACCTTCCAAGCAAACCATAAATATCTTTGTTTGAAAACAAAACTCAACTAATTTCACTCAAAATCTGCACTTTAGTGACAATTGATGACACCTAAATAGCAGTAAAATACAATTTGTTCAACTTTCCGATGTTAGAAAGAATAATTTAAAAATTCAAACTGTGCAATTCAAACTGAACGAGACTGTACAGGGGTCCACAATTGTACAAGCATTGCTTTTTAGTGGACCACTCTGTTTCCAATATGTATGAATTCCTAAGATATTAATTAATTTGTAATGTTTTGTTGGAAACATAAATAAATTGAAATTGAATTGAAAATTGAAACTGTACATGAGGAAGAAGAGCCTAAAGATTTCCAGCTTATTTTCCAAATAATCACTTCCCATCTTACATATACACTGTACATCTACATGCATTTACATACAGTGTACATTGTATGTAATGTCTCTTGTTCAATGCATGATATTTGGCTATGCACTAACAGTAACATCATTAGGTCTTGTTATCTGTATGCATACATACATGTTTGTGTGTACTACATTTGAAGCTACATACATAATGTACTTACATGTACTTGTACTTTCAAACAAAGACATTGAAAGGAAGATTATTGGAAAATATTGAAACAAGGTTGTAAATTGTAAAGTCTTGTTCGATTTTGGCCCAACTTGGTATGATACACTTGGTTACCAAACTTTCAAAAATATTATAATGGTACATTGAAAGTTTGAAATGCACCAATACATTACCAATATATTATTTTTTTTAGATGCTGCTTATAAGCATCGGCTTGCATGGTGATACAGGTTGCACCATGTGAAAGAGAGGGTCGTGAAAAGGACTGTTGGTAATATTATGTGTGTAGTCCTGGTTATTTTTTTAATCAGTAGTTATCATGTTTAGGTTGTTCTGCTTGCCCAGTTTCCATGAAATAGATTTCATGGTTTAATGAATGCTCAATATTACTCTGTCAAGTAACTTACAACTATCTGATATGTGCAGGGTTCAGTTTCTGCAGATATTTACCACCTTCACTTTGAGTTTCTAGGGTAAGTTTGGGTGGTAGCCAAGTTGTTACTCAATTAAGGAGATGTCATTCTTATTCAGGAAACCTTCAATCGTTAACGTATGTGACAAGTCTGAAGATTGCATGCCCAGCACAGCACTTGCCAGATCCTTCAGGAAAATAAACAAATGCTAAGCAAGAAGATTCTTGAGAAGTTAATGAATCTGCATTTTTCTCTTTACTTTGTCAATATCATATTTTCTCTTTCCAATATACATGTACATGTACAGTTTATATAGTATGTGTACATTAGGCCTACATGTACTGTACATATTAGAGGAAGCAAGGAAAATGGCCTCGCTCTACACATCGACCAATCAGTTTGCACTATATACAGTACATTACTTTTTTTCAAAATCGCTTTGGGGTAGACGTTGAGAAGAACGTGTCGGTATATTTTCTTGGTTCTTGTCTTCCTGACTGTCCTCAAAGATGAGACATAATAAGGTCTCATATTCAAGAGTTGATTGTACATGTAGCTTTACTGCTGTTATGAAATCTTTTTGACACAAGTAATGTAAAGTACGCCATCAAAGAGGAATGAAAGGTATCTTTTTTATTCCTTGTTTATTCTTCTTTCCAGTGATACCAACTTAATGTACATTTGTTTGTACATGTATGAAAAATCAATGAGATCGTACAAAAAGCTGAATAACCAGAACCTTGCAAGACTCATTACATAACCTAGAGGGGGGCCATGAATAAGAGCTGAATAAACTTGTGCAATTAGTATTACAATTGTATATTTGCGTGGCGCTCTGGTTGTAATTCTCCAGTAGAGACTCTATCTGATTCTGCAGTTTACCTGCATCGTGGAGGCTGGGTTTGATAAATTCTCTTTCCTTTTTTGAATATGTCTTTGCCAAGAATTATTGTGGGGGTTAGTCCCAAGAGACTCTACTTGTTTCTCTTGGATAACTTCATCCTACAGACACAGTCAATCCAT